CCCCTAATCTTATCTACATGAGCAGTAACTTTTTCAAAAAAATTTTAAAAGATTTGTAAGCCAAGATTTTCCTTCAGTGAAACCATGTTGACTATCCAATAAAATTATCAACTTTGTTAAATGAATTTCCAAACTTTTACCCACAACTGATGTAAGACTAATGGGTCTATAATTACTGGGACAATTTTTATCACCTCCCTTGAAAAGAGGAGTTACATTAGCTAACTTCCAATCCTCTGGTACCTGCCCACTATTCATGGACTGACAAACAATAGTAGCAAGTGGCTCACATATCCAATCTTTAACCTCATTCAAAACCCTTGGGGAAATATTATCTGGCCCAGGAACATTATCATTTTTTTTAAACTTCCCAATTTTTTCTTAACCAGTTCAGAATTAATGCAGTCATCTTGTTTGATCTGGTTTCCATATATCAACTGTTCAAGATGTGGAATACTGATTAAATCTTCAATAGTAAAAAACCAAAGAAAAAACAAAATTTAATAACCCAGCCATCTCATAATCATCAGATATTAGCCTTCCTTTATCATTGCTCAAGGGTCCTACCCCCATCCTAACATTTTGTTTACCCTTAATGCATTTAAAGAAATCCTTACTGTTAATTTTTATATTTTCAGACAACCTTTTCTCATACATCCTTTTTGATGTCCTAATTTCTTGTTTCACCAACTTTCTTGATCTTCTATAATATTCTACGTCTCCTGTCATACCAGTCAATTTAAATTTCTTAAATTTATGATGCTTTTCTTTAATTTTATCTCTTAAACTCTTTGTGAGCCAATCAGGTTTTTTACTTGCAGCTACCCTTTTCTTTCTATAAAGAATATGTTTATCTTGAATATTTAAAAATGTATCTATAAAAATTTTCCACATCTGATCAGTGTCTCCAAATAACTCAGCTGCCCAATTCACAACAGATAACTCTTGTCGCATCCCTTCAAAATATGCTTTTTTGAAATTTGTAACCAAAATATCATTATTCCCTCTATATGCAACAAAACATCAAACCTAATAAAGCAATGATCATTTGCACCCAGATATTCGCCAGTTTCCACCCACTCAATCATTTCTATATTTGAAGTTAACAATAAATCTAAAATAGCATTGTTTTCAGTAGGTTCCTTGACTAATTGGTGAAGAAAGCCATCTTGAACAGTTTCCAAAAACCTTTCTCCCTCATGGTTTGGTATTTCCCAATCTATATGCCTGAAATTAAAATAAACCATAATTATGACTTCATTAACAGCTGAAATCTTAAACTCATTGTAAAGTTTCTCACCAAATGATACTTATGTCACAAGATATAAGTAATGTATAATCATTTTACTGTAGTAATTGTTAAATATGTTTACTTTATAACTCACTAGATGGCACGGTCGTACTTCATTAGTAAATACAACTAAACCAAAGCAATAACTGCTAAGTTTACTGTTTTCCTAAGACTTCTTCCACTTTAAAAATCATTGAGATATAGAGAAATTGACTGTTTCACTGCTACTACGTTTCATTAAAAGTAGCAAAAAATTGTCTGGTTATCTCGTGACTAAATATAGAAAATAAAGTTATTAAAAACAAAGAATATTGCAGGTTTGATAAAAATTATGTTTCTTGGCGTTTCTGAAACAATACTATCAATGAACACACAACTAATTTGCTGTCTATATACACGTTTATGTTATCCTAATAATTTAATAGTCATTTCGGTTTAGATAAGTTGCAGTGAATTTTGTAAAATATTTAGAATTTACAGTGAACGCTAGGTGTATGTCGGTATATGAAGCTATACTATACAAAAGAAATAGAACAATTAACTTTCTGATTTTAGGTAGGTTTACTTTTCCTTTCCTGTTACGGCTTTCTAACTGTCTTACAGATGTTAACATGCTGAACTTCCATTGTTTAGGCCCGGCATGGCCAGGTGGTTATGGAGCTCGACTCGCGATCTGCGGGTTCGAATCCCTGTCCTACC